GCCCAGCATGCGCGTACACGTGTTGGCTTGTAAACACTTAAATTCTGCATCAATCGTGTGCGGGTGTAGTTAGTATAAACCTGATCTTTACCATTCTTTTCCTATAACGTGATCGTCCCACCTTATTGTTTCACTGGTAATCATAAGCGCAGTTTGAATAGTTCAGGCTTGTCCAAAAACCACTGTCTGCTCTCCAACGTCGTTTAAGCAGTACCTTTTGACATATATTTATGCGTCGATAACTCTCCATATAAGGATAACAACTCTGACCCCGCGCGTCGAAAAACCAAGAGATGAACGCCTTTCCTGCGCACATCAGGTCTGTTAGTCCTTTTACCTGGTCTCGCATCGGGCAGCGACAGTCAACATCGCTTTAGCTATCAGTTGCCTATGATCTGACACCTATGTCTTCCGGACGATCTGTTCTCGCCGATGGCAATGTGTTTTGGAAGTAACTCGGGACGGAAAGGGAGAGATAAATCGACGTCAGGGGACGGGCCCTAATGAATATGAACCTCGGTGTTCCAGAAATCTCCGACTGCCACGAATCGATCGTCTGGAACTTTCACATCCCATTTTCAAAACGAAATTGCATTCATCAGCGGATAATTACAACCACATGGAGCTCCGGGTGGTATTGGTTCGTGGTAATTCTACGTCGCCGCTAGGATTCGGGCGCGCGCCGACTAACCGCCGACGGTCAGCCGCCGTCACCCGCGGCGGCCGCGTCCGTTGCCATGCGGGCAAGGATCTCAGATAGCTGCCCCTCCCCCCCCCCCCCCCGCCCACAGCCGGCTGATCTCACTTGAACGGGTGTGCGGGGCCGACGGCGGGACGGCGACGTGTTAATGAGCTCCGGCGCGTCGACCGTCGGCAACGGAGCGCCGGCCGCCGCGCCTGCGCCGCCCGGCTCGGGACCCGGCTTTATCGGGCCGAGGGGGACTGTAGCTTCCTCTAACAGCTGGACAGCGAACAGATGTGCTGGCTCCGCTGGGGCTCATAATTTCCACCGCTAACTGAATGGTCCAATTAATCCCGGGACGACCCGGAGCACCATCCCCCGACGACTGTGATGTCGGGCCCGGGTCCGACTGCAGGGCGTAGCTCTCGGCTGTCCGAACCTCAGCTATATGATTATAAAATAAGGGGAGGAAATAGCACCAAGCGCGTCACGCCTGGGGCAACACCCTCAGGAGAAGGCCTTATTATATATTATCGGGAACAGATTCCATTTGGAAGGCTTATTCTGGCCCGGTGAGACCCTCACGCTTTCTAAAAGTTAACATATAGGTTTGGGAGATATTTGATTTTCAGTTGAGAGGTCAGTGCAGGTATGTCTGTAATTTTGTACCACACCATGATGCAAAACTAACGTCATGCAAGTCTGAAAAAAGATCAAATGCTACAACAACCGTTTCCACGGAGGATTACGGCGCGCAACTTTTCAAAACCGTTAAAAAGTTCCCAACAATTTGGTTATAAGCGACACAACTTTTACGAGCAATTTGCCGCCTGAAATGCTTTGAAGAGATTTAAAAACATGTCGGCAAAGTCGGATATGTTGATCAAACTGCGATTTACTAGTAACAGACAAGACCGCACCTGCACAGGTAGTTATGATGTCAGGCATCCTCCCACCGAAACTTTTGAAACTGTTGAAGAGATCCGGTGGCATAATTGACAGAGACGCCACAATACGGACTCCTGCTCTTTGTATGCGTCCATGTTCACAAGTATGCAGCACTTACAGAGGCTACATACCAAAGCATTTTGCACGATGAGTGATCCTTCAATTCGATGATCCTCAATGCAGGCCTTGCTACGCTCGACGCCGATTTAAGCAATAATGGTACGGCCAGCATTCAACGCCTTCAACTGATTCCCACCGTTGCCAGCCTGGCATTATCCTAGAATCTGAGAGAAACCAAAAGGCATAGACTTAAGAAACACATGTGCATAAAAGGTCTCGTTTCGGATCGTATTTTTTTCTGGGTTCAATAAACATGGTGCACAATGAATAGTGCTATCTTTTCCGATCCGATCCAGCCTAGCTATTAAATTTTAGTGGAATTCCATGAGAACAATGATATTCTTGCTCAGAAATTGATACATACTGAAGCTTTGAACCAATTTTTGATAATATTTGGAAGTCCTTTAACACATTAATGCGTATGGAAAACGTCTAATAATTAGCTATATGGAACATGAATGTCTGACAAAACATAAAAATAAAGTCATAATTCTGAATAAAAAATAGGTTCTTACATTTTGCATACTGATTCTACGTATGCACCTATCGGTATCTACTTCGATCATAATCCGCACGGCAGCACAGAGTTATCGGCACCCTCGATTCAAATCGCTTAGAGACTGATCAGATTTACAGTCACCAGTTTTCAAGCAGTTCTACTCGTGAATCGGCGAAAGAGCACTATATCAGTGAGCTTCTCTCCGTTAAAGTATCTACATGATCACAATTGGGTACTTTCACATAGGCTATCGCCTTGCCCTTTTTACACCCCTCAAGGCATCTTGCTGGTTATTATGCTAAAGACATAACAATTACCAGATACGAGTGAATTTCCACACTGGTCATCCATCGGTAGTCGTTTTCATTTCTAGACATTCATTTTTGCGTTCAGATGCAGAATGTCCATCAGGTTCCATCAGTCGCAAGCGTGTTGTCGAGTGACTGCGGACATATGCCACGGTTTGGGCCCTGGCGAACAGGCGCACGGCAGAACACCATTTCCAGTATTTCAAAGCATCTCACCACACGGAACAGCTTAGCCTTCCGTCAATACCAAGTAATTTGAGCCCGGTGATATTTGTGTGGCGTGAAAATTACCTCAGTTAGAAGGCGCTATTTTTTGCTACAAGTGCCAGCGACCAAAAATCTAGAACCGACTGACCGTCCAGGCGCTAATTCGCACCACCGTACATTTCAAGATCGCAAGATTGATGGCTGTTCTTATGCACGCATACGCACATCAAGAAATGCTACTTCTGTGGTGCCACAATCCATCATTCGCCTACAGTCATCAACAAGCAGTTATGAAATAAATCCAAGCCTGATTGTTAAGAATGGAGACTCATTAGTTTCCATGCTCATTTTTTACTTCTCCCTCTTTCTTCCTCCCCACCTCTCCATCCATCTGCTTCGTCTCCCTCTCTTTTTCTTTTTCAAGAGCTTCCAATCTCCCCTTTTCTTTTATTTCTGTCTCCTTGGTTTGGTTCCGCGGTGCTTTGTTCAATAACTATATTAACTGTGTCAATCGGCACAGAGGCAGCCAAGTCACGCTTCGTCGTCTCCCGGCGCCCTATTGCGGTTCCAGACTCTGCGTCACGCTTAATACAGCAAAACGGTATGCTGCCCATAGGCGTCTCTTACTTCATTCGTGCAATTAAAGCAATGAGTGGTGGCTATCTATAATTTATACCATAACTGTTATTGCCTGTTTTGGCCGCAAATGGTATTTAGTTCATAATCGCTGTGGTTCCATTTCTAAGGTAAACGACCGCTGCTGTCCGCCCCCCTCCCCTCCATCCCCCACTCTCAACCCCCTGCCCATCTGTAAGTTACAGGCCCCTGGTTCTCCGGAACGGGCCGTCGTGTGCGTGAGGGTGCAGGCCCCAAAGTCCATTGACTGGTATAGACCGGTCAACGCCGCATGTAACAGCATCTCAGTCGAAAAGGTCCCCTCCGCTCTTCTTGAGGGTCGTATGTATTTGCCTATTGCAGCACCTGCGCCTACCGGGGTCAGGAAACCGAGATGGGTGAACATCCCACAAGCTCCGGGCAGTGCGGCCGCTGACTGAGCAGATACTAGGGTCAATTCAGGCGCTATCACAGGCACGCGGGCGGCGACAGCGTGGTCGCTGACTGGGCGGATACTGGGGCTAATCAGACCTACCACAGGCACG